AACCCTATAATCCCTAAACCCCAAACCCTATAATCCCTAAACCCTAAACCCTAATCCCGAAGCCTTAAACCCTAAACCCTAATCCTTAAACCCAAATCTAGGACCGCGCGCCCATCGAATAAAGTCTCGGATCTCAGGCTCTTTGACTTCGCCGAGGGGTTCACCTCGGAGGACTGAGAATATAGGGATGCTATAAGGGGCCATAAGTAGAGGTTACTATTGATAGGGCCTGGATAATTATCTATACCATTTTGGGGGTTCTGCATGATGTTTATAGCCTAAGGGACCACCAAAACTCTAGTGTAGTTCTTGAGGCCCGTGTACAAGGACAGAGATCTTCCTGTGCCTGCCCGATGCATGTGCAATGCAGCTGGCAAGCTCTCGACAAGGCTTAGAATTGTGTGCGCATGTGGGCATGTGTGGCCTGGGCTTCTGCAGAATTAGCACTTGTTATGCCTGCTTCAGAAGGCTAGGACGAAGACCGGGTTGAGCTTAAAGTTTCGTCGAACCCCCAAGCCTTACCGTATTCTGGTCATGAATGCCATGGCAGTGGAATCACACTGTGGGGTTGTCCGAAGCTTGCCGTTGGTTTGCAGCAGCGTTAGGCACCTGCTTGCAAAGCTAAGCCCTATTGTCGGAAACTCCCACATGGCTTCTAAACCCCATCCCAACCCGAAGTCTAAGCTGCTTGAGTTACGAGCACCTCTCGCAGAAACTGCACGGCAACATCTATATGTATATATATATATACATATATACCCATACATGTATGTATATATATATATATATATATCATGCACATATGATTGTGTACTAAATTTTTCTATTCTGTATTATATACTGCATGAGGTTGTTAGCCCAAAGCTCCCAAAGCTCCCAAGCCCAACACGCTTCAGGTTGGCGACTTTCGGTTAAGGGGTTCGGGGTTTAGGGTTCCGGGTCTTTGATTTGCCTTCCGTGTACTTTCCTCAAATGCAGCAAGAGTGGGTCCAGCACGCATGGCCTGCTCGACAGAGAAAGTGTGCACCAATGAACCTTGTCACTGCTTTCCCTCCAGCCGACACGACCCGTTTCAATTCATTGGTGTCTCTTCATGGCAGAATACGCTAGACGGATGTCTGCAATCCCACTCGCGTGACGAGAACTCTCGTCAATCACCGGGGCAGGCCCTAAGCCACGGCCTAAGCCAGGCCCTAAGTGGGCATGAATCCCTTTAATGGTCTTCGGCCATCTCAGAGTAGTGGCTGCGAAATCGGCGGCCCTTCTCTGAGACCTGGCATGCCAAGCCGGGAAAGCCTCTAACTGTTGATGGTATAGGGATGCTTCTGGGCGGAGTGGACAGAATCTGCTGTTTGGCGTTCGCATCATGGATTTGAACACTTTCGCTACTGTCTTCTTCTTGCTGAGCTTAAGGACTGATGGGCTACGGTTAGCATAGGGCAGGAGGGTTGTAGCACTGAGTAGTTTGATACATGACAGTTGACATCTCCGAATCAGAACGGTGGCAGCCAGCATCCACACTTACTTACACATGATACGTGATTTTGACTTGTCTTTCCCGCGCTTGGCGGTCTCTAAACCACGGAGGCGAGTCAGGTCTTTCGGCATTATGTGGCCGCAGCAAGGCAGCTAGCTTCGAGGGCAAGACGCACTTTCACATCTCCTATACAACAGATCCTTGTCTTCCCCGAAGCCGGTTGCATCGCCAATCTGGTAACCTGGCCACGGTGCGCATGGATGAGAACAGCGTCTTGGGGTGTTGCCAGCTTTGTGTTCTTGGCGTCCTGCTTCTTGTAAACCTTGGCAATGGAATGGGGTTTAGCCAAGAGGGTTTTAGTCACCGAGGATTAGTATAGTAAGATAGTAATTAGGGTTTAGTATAGTGTAGTGATAATGGTTTAGTAAGGTAATTTGAGATTTCCTGCAGCGAAAAGGGTTTAGAGCTCGGTACAAGCTGTATGACATCGTCCCGTTGGTCGTTCGGTGTCAGGTCGAGATTAGCGAGTTGAACATGGACGGTTAGAGTTTACGGGCTTTGGGTTGAGGGTTTCGCTAGACTTGAACCGAGTAGCAACAAGAGTTTAGGGTTCAGGGGTTTGCGTTTAGGGGTTAGGCTTTAAGGTTTAAGGTGTATTAGATTTACATCTGTCTTTGTCAAGCTGCACACGCCCCAAACCCTTGGCCTTGAACCGATAATTCTGAAGCACTTACCCCGCCCTTCAGCCCCAAGCCCTATATAATTCTCTTCAACCCAAACCTCCAGCAAAAACCTACACCGTAAACCCTAAATCCTAAACCCTGATTGGACACCCCTCAACCCCAGCATCGTGGAAATGCAGAGAGAGACACGGCAGGTCTACAAAGCTCGCATCGTGGGAACGACGCAACCTCAGAACCCTGGTTCTCGGGCCCTGGACTTAGATAGCTAGTGGGAGAACTTGAAGCCTTTTGGCCTGACATATGTACATATATATATATATATATACGTATGGTCTATCTTATATACTTTGGCTTGCCATTTATTGAAGAAGAGAGTAAAGGGCTTAGGGTTTAGATGTCGGGTTAAGGGTTTCGGGACCCCAGACCTTATCACGGCTTAGGGCTGCGGATTTAGCATGTAGTGCTTCGTGAAGTGAACATGCGGGGCTAACGCGCAGCAGAGAAGTCCGGATGCAACGAGGTTTGGATCAGGGTTTGGAGGTGTCCGAAGTGTTCTTATGAGGTCACCACGACAGGGAGTCGCGTTGTTCCGCTTCAATGCTTCTCTTACCGAGTTAGTCTCGCAGCCTTTTTGTTTCTGCGTTTTGTGCGTGCATAAACTCGTTTGCTGAAACCTTGTAACTTAGTAGCTGAGTGGATACACTTTACCCTTTTGAGGATAATAATGTTAAAACTGAGAGTGTGCACGTTTTGGGGCTTATGAACACAGCCACTAAGGTAAGGTCCTAATTATATATTTGGTTAAACCAAAAAAGGAACTACATTGGAGACTATAGGATTTCTCAAGCCTTGTAAGGTCTACTTGGAGGGGCAGGGGACTTAGTAAGTGGCTTATAAGTAGGGTTATAATTGGGATAACTCCACTTAGGTTACTTATAACTCTGCTTACAACGTACTTACTAAGTCTCCTGCTCCTCCAAGTAGACCCTAAAACCGAAACCCCATGGATCCCTTTAAGGAACCGTATAGATCCCTTTAAGGAGCCCTTTAAGGAACCCTCCAATTAGGCTGGGAGCTTGTGCTCGATTTCGAAAGGAAGGACAGTAAGAGCCGTTATTCAGGCGGATCTCAGAAAAAACCCAGCTCAAACGTAGTGACTACGGGCTGACATGGCCGACTTTTGGTATGGGTTTGCAAAAAAGTTTGGACTTGAGATTTTGAGGATTTGATGCCGATGTAGAATCCACCACTATCTTGCGGCATAATCACATGTAGCTTGCGCTGAGCCGCGCAGGTGACAAGGTTCGCACAGGAGTCCTGCACCAGATGGGTTCCTAAAAGGTTTTGTTTATTGGTGCTACAAGAGCTTGACATGGGTTGTTAGGTTTTGTGGGTCGTAGACTGGCTGGACTTGAGTCCAGTAGCGAAAGGGGTAACATCCAAAAGACATGTTTTTTGCAAGTATAGAGTCCGAGTAAACCCCAGGCTCAGAGGCCTAAGCCTGCACGCCAAGCACTCCGAAACCTCAAAGCGCAGCATTACGTTGCAGCCTGTCAACCGTCCGTAGACTCTAGACCTTGGGTAGTCCTCTAAATGGGGGTCCCGTGTTGGGTACCCGAATTTGGAGAACTACCTAAGCCCTAATCCCTAAACACCCCTCAACCCTAGAACTACCCCCTTGCCGGCGAAGATCTTGCGCCTGGTGCACTGGCTTGTCGAAGATGCCCAACCAGGCAGCAACGAGCCAAGGGCTGTTCTTAGGTCGGGCAGTGCAGAAATCGGGTTTTCACAGGAATTTGGAAAAGTGGAACTCTGCAAAGGTCCTATATTGCGCTATAAGGTATATAATCACCACCTAAGATCCGTAGGTTGCAACCCTAAATAGCCATAATTTTTTGTGGGTTCTAGAGGCGGTTGATGCTGAGTGAGTCTGCTGTCACGTTGGGTCGATATGGTATGGTTGACACTTTCTGGGCTTTAGCGTACCATACTTGAATACTTTTTTCTTGAAGGAACCTTTGTGACATACAAGTTTATACTTTTTCTCCTGGTTACTTAAAAGCCCAGCTTGTTGGTGGCTCATGGCTGACTTTGAGGTGACAGCCTAGAGTTGGCAATGACCTGCTTGTAAAACAACCTAGGTTTGGAGTACCATACTTGAAGACTTGTTTTTGGTACGAATGTTCCTCGAAGGAACCATTATGAAATAAAAGTCTCTACTTTTTCCCCTGCTTATCTCAAAGTCAGGCCGATAGTAATTCTAAACTCCTCGACAGACCTCGCCTGGTGATGCCGAATGTGAGTGTCAAAAACATAGCCATACCAAGAGGCTCCATAGTAGTTCCTGTTTGGGGATCATATTTAGAATCCTATAAGGTGCTCCCAAAAAGGAACTACTATGGAGCCTGGGGATCATATTTAGAATCCTATAAGGTGCTCCCAAAAAGGAACTACTATGGAGCCTCTGGGTCCTAAAGCCCTGTAAGACCGCGTGGGGACTTCATGCGCATTCAGGGTTTAGGGTTGGGGTTTAGGGCTTAGGGTTTAGAGTTTGGTGGTTCGGGTCACGGGTTGAGTTTTCAGGACGTTTTCATGAAGGGGTAACTAGACCAGACGCGACACGATGGAGTGATCCTTTGTGCCTGCGAAGAGTTGTAGCCGTAACGAAGGCAGGAGAGGTGTGCCATGTCGTGCCCGCATTTTTTCAGATCCTGCGTAGTGTTAGGCCTTCGTTGTTTCATCCATGAAAAAACATGTTAAACTCCGAAGATACACATCCTAAACCCTGAACCCCGACGCCTGAAATTCCGAAGAACATTTCTTCCTGGACTGGACCAGCCATGCCAACTCCCATGGAGCCTGTTGTGGCTCTTGAAGCAGCTATGCCTGCAAGGGAGGAGGCGCCGAAGCACCGTTAGCTGTATGTTGTTTGGGACTCAGCTGGCATCTTAGGAGCCTTACTTGTGGGGCTTCCTCAGGGCTCTTATTACATAATGCAGGGGCCTTCACCAATAGGACGGGGTTCTGGAGGCATGTTTGGTGGTTGAATCAATGATTTGCAGTTGCGTGGGATCTTATAGGGCTCATAGGACTCTAGATTGGGGCCTTCACAACCAAATTAGGGTTCTGGGCGTTGTAGATAGTGTGATTGCATATGGAGGCTAGAAAGGGGGCACAATCACTTCAGGGCGATAGGGGTTTGGGGTATGAGAACAGGAGTGTTGAATATAACTGCTTTAGACTTAGTTGCCTTTTTTTGCGACTGTCAGCCCTGGGGCATGTACATGTCTAAGACACCTCCGACACCAGAAACATTTAAATCTTCAGGACCATCTGTCCTTGAACGGCAAAACCCCCAACGCAATAATAAACATATCATAGGGTCGTGGGGTATACTACACTGTAAGTATATAGGGGTATTGGGGTGGATGAAGTCCTAGAAGGACAAGGAAGATGCAGAGCTTGAAAGGCCCAGGAGGATCTCGGCGCCTCGAAGCAAGAGCCAGAGCAGAAGGCTGCATGTGATATCCGGGCCTTACATAATAATTACCTATACTATTTTGGAGGGTTCCGTTTTATATTTATAGCACAGTGGGCCTCAAAACCCTATTCTAATTATTAAGGCCCCTACAGTAATTTCTTCCCTAGACCTCAAGGGGCTTGGGGTTACGGGTCCTGCATGCCCTAGATCCCAAACCTCACCTGCTTTGTCTGAGTTGCGAGATTGCAAATCCTAAACCCCGAATCGTCCACACCGGAAATCTCAAATCCCCTATGCAAACCAACCCTAAATTCCATAAGCAACAAGCCCTACAATGCCTTAAGTCGCGACTTCTGAAGCTTGGACACCCTCCGGGATGCGAAGCCCAAGGATTCCTCAGTTCCAAATCCCCCAACATTCTCAGCTGACCCTGCACCTGAGGGACATAAGCATTTTTATAGGGATATCCCTACCTGATTGGGTTTCCTTATATGGAGGTTTATAGGTGATATCCCTATCCAAATTTTGCTTATGTGCTTTTGGGGGCTCTCTAGCGTGGCATCTGAAGGTGCTGCAGCCGCTCCGGCGACGTGCAGAAATTCGGGCCAAGGGTGCCCCCAGCTCATGTGGAACTGCTATAGGGGCCTTAAGAATTAGAATAGAGTTCCTTTAAAGGGCTGCTTTAAGGGATCCTATAAGGGTACTATAAGTAAGTGTTTACTCTCGGGGCCTTAATACGTACCTATACTAGTTTGGTGGCCCCTGACTTACTTTTAGGACAATGGGCCCCAAAAAACCCTATTCTAACTATTTAGGCCGTTGTATTATGCGATTTTCACTGCCTTTAGGTCTCTTCTGAGAAGCAAAGATTCCGGTTTCCCATCCAGGGAGCTGCTAAGTCGAGCCTCCAACCGTTCCTCGAGTTTCATATGAGTAGTGGTCAAAATCAGGGTCCCTTTTTGGGGTATCAGACGCCGTATTCTACTAGGGGCCCAAAGGGACCATAATTTTTGACACCCATAGATGGGTGACTAGAGATTTGCCCGGAGTTATCGATACGCAGCCTACGGGCGGTTGCCGCCGCCACCTGAGATCCCCTTTGCATGAAAGTTCCCGAATGCCCACCCCTGCGTCCCTAATCCCCCATCCTTGAGCTGCTGCACCGAAACGACTGCGAGCCCGAAGCCATGGCGCACGCAACTTCCACGGAAAGTTCTTGCAGGAACAGACCCAAGGATCAAGACAGTGAGCCCAATGCCGGTATTTCCTGTTCATGACAGCTTAGGCCATGACGTTGCTAGAGTCCGGTTCGGTATAAGGACAGCGTGCCGGTCCTTGCGAAAAGGATTCGCGGGCTCAACGGCATTTTCATTGGTTGTTTGACATTTTCGAGCTTGTTGTCAGTGTGTGTGTGTGGGACCCCTCGTACTCATCAGGTTTTGACCGACTGCGGGCCGGCATGAAGCAGCAGTAAACTCAGTAGCGCGCTCATTTCGGTGTCCTGCCAGGTGCGCGGCCTTTCTTGTCGGCCTTGTGCCGCGAGTTCGAAGGTGCCATCCAGGGTTCGGGGCAGGTGAAATCTGGTTTGCCTAGACTGGGATGCAACACGCATGGAAGGACAAGCGGGCAGCAGAAAGTAATTATGTGTGTGTGTGTGTGTCGACGACTGCACTGACGACGATGATGAAGATGACTCCTGCGGTCACTATCACGAGAACCATCACTACAACGACTGCTAACATGACGATGACGACTACTGTTATGATGTCCCGGTCCTGTTAACGTTATTATCTCGGGAAATAATAAATAATGGGATTATTTTGAGATTGCAGATGGAATCGAGGCACTCAGGCAATCAAACAAGCAATGGGAAAACAATGAACAAAAATATGGGATTGGAATCCCGTGGCATTCTGACTTCAATGTTTCTCCGATTTGGTTGCAGGGTGCACTTGGCATCTGATTTTTGTCTCATGTTTTCCATAGTTCCCGTGCGGCCCCGATCCATCTCATGTTTTTTTCCATTTTTGGTTCCTTTTCTTTTCCATTTTTGGTTCCATTATTTTTCCATGTTTTTTTGATTTTTTTCCCAAATGCTTCAGGGAATTTGTGTTTTTCCAGGATGGAGGCCACCTGGGACGGGGCCCAAATCCCACCCCCACGCAATGGAAAAAAAATGGGGAAAAAACACAAACTCAGAATGCTGGTCCAGGGTGGTCCTTTTTTGAACCTGTCGCCCCTGATGCCCTGGCCCTGACAGTTTGTCTTTGTTTGCGTTTGATTTTTTTTTGTTTTTTTTCCATGTGTGGTTTCGTTTTTTTTGTGTTTTTTCCATTCCCTGTGTCGGTCCTGGTCTCTTGTTTTGATTTTTGGTTCCATTTTTGTTCATTCCTTTTTTCAATTTTTATTGTTCGTGGTTTTCATAGTTATCAGGCGAGGGGCCATCTTAAGACTACTGCTAGCGCTGCTTCGATTGCTACTTGTACTCTCACTTCTACTCCTCCACAAACTCCTCCTCCTCCTCCTGCTACGACGACGGCATCTGAGGCGACTGCAACGACGACGACGACAAGTACTGCTACACCAAGCTGTCAAGATTACTTAGTCGTCACTGCGAAGTACTAATTGTACCACCACTAGCACACATAGCATTGCTACCAGTGGCAAAGAATCAAAAGCACTCCAAAACATGATCATAATACTCGGTGACAGCTTGCATTCCTGGCAAAAGGAAGACGTATGGTGACAGAAATGATTTCACAGCTAAACGGCTTAGTGGGCAGAATTTTGGTGTGAGGATCTAGATTGGCTTTCACAAAGACTTGCGGAATCGCATGTCTCAGTGGGGAAATGGCACGGGATACTTGTTAGTTTAAGCCTGTGCAGTGTTTATCCCGTGCAAGGGTTTGGGGTCTAGCACATGTCCAAGCCATGATGCAGAATCGGCACTCGAGTGTGCACTTCGCGGAGATGTACTTGAAAGTCCGCTATCCATCATGCACAAGTTCTGATGCTTACCCGACGTCCTTGCCGAGGTGCTATGCCAGTGACGACAGGCTTGTGCTTTGCAACGTACTATAGGGGGCCATGATAATTACCTATACTCTTTTGGGGGTTCCTTGCTAATTATAGAATAGTGGGCCCCCAAACCCTCCCCAAAACCCTATTCTATTTGTGAAGGCGCCCATATTACAGGTAGTTTCGAGAGGGGATGTACATCTGATTTGGGGATCCTGCTGGTACGGCTTATGAAGAAGGGTTGGTATTCTTCAGGGTCAGTGAAAAAGTGCCTGATGCATGGCCCTTTGTGGCCCATCGTGGAGATTTTCTTCGGGGTCTACTCCTCGCCGTTGTGGCACAGAGCCCGCGTCCCCGACAACACCCACTTCGCAAGCGGAGTTGAGGAAAAAACCCACAGCCTTTGACCGGCTCAGGCATCCGGAAACAATGAAGGGAGCACAGTCCTGTGGTACCCAGCGGGTTTCTGTTTGCATGTCGGGCCGTGTGTGACCTGGTTCCATGGTGGTAGTAGCACCTTCACATGTGTCCCTGCTGTTTGGCGATCCTAAGGAAATGCACTTTTGGCACCATATTTTCAACCGTTGAACTCTGGTGGAGGTCCGCAAGCTTTGAGTATGCGGCGCATGGCACGGCAGGCAGAATGGCAGGCCCGGCGACAGTTAGGCAGAAGAGACCGCCAGATGTCTTGGAATGATTGTCACACAAACGATGTGATATCGTGATTGGATGTGCGACCGTTGCAGGAGTATGTTTGCATAGCCTAGCTAATGGAACGAGTTCATCCAAAACCCGGAACCCACCGGTACTACGATAGCCCTGCAAAGTCATGTAAGTTCGATAGGGGCTTTCTTACACGGCCTTCTACCATAGCGGCCGCTCGTAAACGCCCAACAAGAAGCCGTACATGGACTTTAACACGCTGCCGGCAGCAAGCGAACTGTAGTATTATTCCTTAGGTTTCTTGTCATATATATATATATGTTTCTATATATATATATATATATATATGTATATACTGATTGTATTGCAATATTTTCCCAGAACCATATTCTATTTCAAACGGCCCCTATATCAGCCGGGCCACGTCCAGGCGCAGAACTATAGCTTCGACGCCGGGGCCTTACTAGGGTTTGATCCAGGGTTTGGGTTTAGGGTTTATGTGCGGCAATGAGATGCAACCGAGAGAGTGGCAAAAAACGCAAGCTCGAAGCAAGCATCGACAATCTTCTGAACGAAATCAGCTGAGCTACATACGGCTGATGGACAAAATCCTGCATTACCCATTATAAGGAAGATACCATAATTCCCATAGTTTAGAGTCCTTAGGGTCATGTAGGAGTTTGTCCAATCGGACCATGGAGTCGCTGAATTTGCTGGAACTATAAACGAGAGGGCCCTGCTGTTGGGGAGTGTTTGCTTGCACACAATCCAAGCATATGCTGAAAAAAAGATGCTGGAATGGTTTACGGCCTATATAGTCCAGAGTTTAGGGCGGTTGTGCTGGATACGTCCAGTACTGTGGCCAGCTTTGGTCTCTATCATCGTAAAAGTGGGGAGATGGCAAGACGCGGCGGCTGCTTGCCGCTTTTATTGTGTCAAGGTTTGCCCACGGAAGTTACTTGCATCTGCTTTGGAACGGTGATTCCTTGCAGAACACTTGCAGGAATTGGTATTCCCTATATGGGAGTTTCCGAAAATTGGGGACCCTGATGTAGCACTCAGCACCCTGAATAGTAAGATCCTTATCATAAGGACCCCACCCCAAACTAAGGTGCCCCTAATTTTCGGAAACTCCCATGTAAAACCTCATGCCTTCAGGGACTGCTGATCCCCTGACTAAGCCCGTAATTCCAAACCCTTCAGTCCTAAAGCCCTACAAGAACAGCTAGTTTATCTCAGGGATTGTGGATGCCGAAGGCATATTGGCCGTAGTGCCCAGAGGAACTACTATAATAATTTTGGGAAGTATCCCCCATAATACTGCTGATGGACAAAATCCTGCATGACCCTTAGGACCCTAAACTATGGGAACTATGGTATATTCCTTTTAAGGGGTAATGCAGGATTTTGTCCATCAGCCGTAGTAGCCAGTGCACTCTGGGGTGTGGAGAAACAAGGTCAACAGCGACGTGATCCTCCTCACGGAAGGCCTGGTTTCCGCATCATACAATCGATGCCGAAAGGCCTGCAGTACAGCTCCAAACCCTGAGCCCGAAGCCCTAAGCCATCGCAAGACCTGAAGTCTTGAACATCCCCGTATAGTTTAGTCGCGATAGAGTTCTTCATCAATTTAGAATAGCACCGACTATTTGTTAAGGCCTCGTCGAAAACCCTTGTAAAGCAATGCTCTTGTCACGGAGGCCCGTATGTTATCAACCATACCCCAGGCCCTATGTCATCCGTATGTCGTCAAGGATATGGCCCCTTTTTGGGTACCTTAAATATCAGGTGTTGTACTAAAATAAGGACCCAAAAAGGGAACTTAATTTTGATATCAACCCTGCGCTGCCTGATTTGCGCAGGTTGCGAGCTTGAACGGGATGCAGAAGTGCAGCTCACCTGCTCTTTCCTGGAAAGGGTAGCCTTTTCAGGGCTTAGGGTTTAGGGGGAAAGGGGGGCTCTTGCTGTAACCGGGCTGCTGGACATCGAGGCCTGCTGCAAAAAGGGTATTTTCTTACTAAGCAGAATAGTACTAACACTGCCAATAACCAGTCATGGCCCAGGGAATTGAACCTGACCCGAGAGAGGGTGACCGTCAAAATGCGAGGCCTGTCGTAGTTTCAGAAAACCAAGACAGTAGTGGGCTTAACTTTATTGTAGCTACATAGTACCAACATCCACGTATATTCCATATCATCGAATTATACTGTAAGACAACATGCAAAAAACGACACCCCATTCGAGTAATTTGGGCCCTTTCCTCCTAGAGTCTTGCCCCTTTTATTTCAAGCTCGCAAAAGCACAAACCTAGGAAATGTGAACCGTAGCTGCTTAACCCTGAACTGCCCCAAGCCCTGACAGAATTGTTCAAAATAAGACGAGTGCCGCACCCGGTATCTTCACTCTTAGACCTTAAACTTTTGACCTTAGACTCCAAAAGCCTAAACCCTAAAATCCGAAACCTTAAAGAAGCCGAGGACATCGTTCCTGGATTCGTTAGAGGCCGAGGCCAAAGAGGCGAGCTTGAAGGGATTTGACAACTGTTTCTGTGGCGTTGAGGTTCCATCCAGAGTTTAGGGTTGGAGGGATTCAGGGTTTGGTGCGTTGCAGTCCCTGCTCAAAAAAAAAGGGCGCGCAAATTCCGAGGAAGACGGGGAAGGATGCTAGGATTTAGGGCTTAGAGTTTAGGGTTTAGGGGAGAGACAGACAGAGAGAGAGAGAGAGAGAGAGCGAGAGAGAGAGAGAGAGAGAGAGAGAGCGAGAGACCCGCCCCTTATGCCCTGCTGAAGAAGAGAGAGAGAGAGAGAGAGAGAGAGAGAGAGAGAGAGAGAGAGAGCCTTTGCAGATCCGGTTTTGGTTCGATGCGAAGTACCAGTACAAATGCATAATTAATCATAAGGATCCGTAGGGGGAGGGGGGGTAGGGGGCCTTATTACGTATAACAAGAACTTAATAAGACTTCTTTAAAAGGAAGTATAGTCCCTGCCCCTTACCCCCCTTCCCCACCCTACCCCCCAAAGGGTCCCTATGAATTGGACCACAAGTTAGCACTGATGTGATCACTAGGTATTCAGACCCCAGTGAATCATAGACTGTGTGCCAGAAGAACCTTGCATGATATTATCAATGTCATGGCGCATTGTCTTCAGCAGGAAACCACCCGAGCCTGCCTTTTGGTGCGAGGCTTCAGCGTTCTGCAGCACCTTCCGCCACATGCAGGACGTCCGTGGTCACGTTCGAAATCGCTCTGCCTGGGACATAGGACATAACGCTCGATTTTACCCAGGGGCCTGCAATTTAAGTTGGAAGGCGGCGTTGTTGGTGATCTGTTCGAAGTTAGAGATGTGAGAGCTGAACACTGGTTCCTGAGGATCGCCTGAAGAAGGAGCTGGACTGCTTGCATGTACCTTCTGCACCTCATGTCGCTGCACGACTACAGTGCCGCTTGTTTGAATGCAGTTAGCTGCCTTCAGAGGAGTTCTAGAATCTACAAGTGCCGTGGAACGGTGTTCGGCACGATCATCAAATCATCATCTCGGTATTGATTTAGCTTTAGTTGCTCACTGATGGATATACTGAAGCGTTCCATGTGTCTGGTCTTCCAAGTCGAGGTCTGACGTTTAGAATGCTTTGATTAATCTAACTGAAGGTGAACCAAGCACGGGATGTCCCAAACACAGATCGATTCCACGGAAGAGCTGAAGGGGCACGGCACTTCAGAGAGAACCAGATTGAACAAAAACCTGATGTCGCATGGCTTACCTTTGGTTAGTAGGGAATGGAGGAATGAGGTATTAATATAGCTACTATTACTACCATTCTCCATTCCCTACATTCCCTACTAACCAAAGGTAAGATGATGCCTCGGAAACTCCTCAGGGGGCGGCCTTGGTAGGTACGGACCTAACAGGACAGTTTGCGGCGGGTTCAGAACCTACCGAGGTCTGAATCCGAATCATTCTGAATCAAAACTTGGTCAGCTCGGCCGGTTAGTCAGAACCCCCAAACCCCGGCAGATTCCTTGCAGAGCCCCTTGTAGAAGCTGCAAAGGAACCCTTCACGAAACTATAAGCCCAGACGTCAATGCCTCCCGTAGTTGCAGTTGCAGGTGATGACGCGAAACTGCTCGTAGCCGAGCCGCCTTCGGCGAGACTGCCACTCGGCGCTTCTGAGCAGTAGTGGTGGTAGTAGCAGCAACAGCAACTACTCTTATCATTATTGTTTGTTGTTTTTTTCTGTTATTGTTTGTAGAAAAGAGCATGTGGGCGAAGCTCCACGAGGTTTAGGGGTGTAAGGGTTTACGGTTCTCGCTTTGTGCTTTGGGCTGAGGTGTTTAGCAACTACCACGAGTAAGAAGAGAAAATATTAATAACAGTAACAATAATGACAATAGCAATAATAGAAGGTACCTCTTCGCCATCACCAGCGTCACATCATGGCGAAAGAGTTGGCTGTGTTTGCTCGTCACCGCCGGCATGCACCATCACCGTCACCCCACCCCCACTAACACACAACCCACGGCCACCACCCCGAACCTTAAGACGCCTTCAAACCCTGAACGAAGCATCAAGTTTTATCCTCGCATTAACATCGATACTAACAATAAAATACCAAAGGAAAGGTTAGTGAACGAATATATGAAGAATGAATGATCTTTCCAGGCTTGCTTACTGTTTTAGGGTACCTACTTGAAGCGGTGGATCCGAGGACACAAGATTCACTGCCGGGGTTGTTGCCCAACGCTGGAGCGAGCAAGGCCCATGGGGTGGAGGGAGTACCAAACTGGGTTGTCCTTTGGGATTTCTTCTTATTTCCACCATTATTTTATGGAGAACCATAGTAGTAAACAATTTTCAAAAAGGCCTTAAAGGACAACTCAGCAAATTCGATCCTGGGGTTCAGTATAGGATTTAGGGCAGGGCTGGCTGTTCACTGCATGGTTTAGTAATACCCGGACAGCGCGGCGGAGACAACGAAGGGGAGCCCTGGAGATCATGTTCTCATCAAGGCCTATGATGCCTCTAAGGTTAAGGGGTTTAGGGCCTAGGGGGTTAGGAGTTGAGGATGTTGGATATCCTCAAGTCCCCACCCAAGTGGTTCTTCAATTGTCTGAGCTGGCTTTGAGAGAATCGCTCCTTTCGGTACTTGGAGGATCATGGGACTTAGTAAGTAAAGTTATAAGTACCTTAATTGGGGTTATAAGTTATAAGTATAGTTACCCGAATTATAACCCGGGTTACTAAGTCCCATGATCGTTTATGTAGTCACCCTCGAGGCTGAAGTTTTCCTTCTGAGAGACAGACCGGTCATCAGTAGAGGCGCTTCAAGAGCTAAATTGCAGGGGCCTTAGTGTTCACACTAGGGTGCCTTTAGAAGGGCTTATGTCAAACTTACTATGAGTACTAATCATTGTCATTTTTACTACTAGTCTGGAAACTTCTAAGTTGTAAAATTGCTTTCCGCGTTCCATTCCGGCGATCGCGCTTCAGAAATGCATTAGCTTTGGAACTCAATGTTTTCGGCCCACTTCTAGCCACTTTCCCGCGTGCTTCATTTTTTCTGCGGCTCATTTCCACGATCGCTTATCAAAAAGCGAAATGAAACCGTGTTAGCCTTGGAACATTGGGGATTTCCATGTTTTCGTTTTCGAGCGACTTTCCCGCACGCTTCATTTGTTCCACATTTCATGTACACGACCGCATTTCATGTTAGCATTGGAACATTGGATATGCCCGCGACTAAAAACATTGTTACGAAGATTCGCCATTTAAATTTCTACTTGTATTACTATTCTGCCTATTCGAAGTACTTGTTGCTATTACTGTTTTGATTAGTAGTAATGCTGTAGTGGTAGTAGCAGCAGCAGCAGCAGCAGCGGCAGCAGCAGCAGAGGAGTAGTAGCAGCAGCAGCAGGTGTAGTAGAAGTAGTAGTAGTAGTAGTAGTAGTAGTAGTAGTAGTAGTAGTAGTAGTAGTAGTAGTAGTAGTAGTAGTAAGCAGTAGTGTTATTAAGATTCTTCCCAGCTGATCGGCAGAGTCTGGGTTCAAAAAAAGATTTTGGCCTTTTTGCCCCTGGAAGCCCAGGTTGTGAAGCCCGGGTTCCTCTGCGCCGACCTCCCGGTGCCAAGGATTTCCTACAGCCAGGCTCCGATACTAAGGTATCCACTGGTGGAGCTCGGGGTTTGCTATAGTAGAATAGTAATAAAGTACTATAGTTTAGGTACTGCCCCCATACGGTAAGAGTCTACAATCGGGCTACTATTAAGGTCCTAATATATCTATATTATGAATATTATTCAACTACTACTGAGTGGGGGCCGTACCCAAACTATAGTAGTTAGTTACAGGAAGACAGTGATATGGGAGTTTCCGAAAAGGGGGGCGACCCTCATATAGTGCCCGCAATAGTAGGATCTCCAGCATAAGGACCCCAAAATAAGGTACCCCCTTAGTTTCGGAAGCTCCCATATAGTAATATAGTGCACTTTAGTTCAGCGTTTCTACCAGGCCAAGCCGCGAACTGTGGTGAAGGGATGGGTAAGGCTTTGAGCTTGCACGTTTCCAAGATTTCCGGTGTAGGCGCCAGCTCCTAAACCCATCAACATGTATTAAAAAAGAAGTAGATGTAAATAAACAAATAAATATGTATATATATATATACACATATATAATATACTAGAGTCTAGAGGGTTCAAGGAATCTGCGGGACGCGACCTTCACTTAAGCACCTGGAAGATCGCCTGCGAAGGCTTTCCGGAGCGACATCGTTCAGAGCGAAGCGATTCCGCTGAAAAACTGGGAAAGCACCTCGCCAAAAATAAGGTTGATGGACAAAATCCTGCATGACCCTACGGACTCTAAACTATGGGAATTATGGTATATTCCTTATAGTGGGTAATGCAGGATTTTGTCCATCAGCCGTAGGAGTCTTTTCGGGTGCAGGAGAGGCCTAAACCCTAAACCCGAAGCCCCTGAAGCCCTAAGCCCATAAGCTCCCTTCAAGCACACAAGGCCGAAAGGGAGCCCCGGGAGGCCCCCAAATTCATGAATTCCGAGGCCCTAGATGCGAGGATCGGACCACCCAAAACGGGGACCCAAACTTTACCTATAGTCTCCATTGTAGTTTTTTTTGGTTTAACCAAATAATCAGGATCCTACAAAGGTAACACCCAAAAGGAACTACAATGAAGACTATAGGTAGTACCCTAAGCAGTTAGGATCCTTGTTACAAAAAGCTGCTTGAGAAGCGAGCTAACGAAGCATCCGAACCTACTTCTGCAGACCTCGCCAGGCTTGTCCGAGAGTGAGTGTCAAAAAACCCTAAAGCTTTGACCTGGAATGTTCCCAAAACCCCAAACCCATAACCTTAAACCCATAAACTCAGAACATGAATCCCTAATCCGAAACCCTAAACCCATAACCTTAAACCTAAACCCTAAAACAATAACCTTAAACCCTAAACGCAGAATCTTAAACCTAAAACCCCAAACCCATAGCCTTCAACTTAAACCCTAAACCAATAACCTTAAACCCGATCGAAACCCTAAACCCATAACCTTGAACCCTGAACCCCAGGCCCTAAGCCAGGTCCACTGGAGCTGCCCCTCCCGGGCCAGCTCTACGAAGAGCCGATGGCATCGGCAAGAAGCACAGAGGCAGGGCTTGTAAAGCTTGAACCCTGGGTTAGGATTCAGGGTTTAGGGTTCAGGGTTTAGGGTTTGGGTTTTTTTTGGGGATGGGGTTTAAGGTTTTGGGGAGAGGGTTTAGGGTTAGGATTCAGGGTTTAGAGTTTTGGGGGGTTACCTATCATGGGTTACTATGCTAGGGGGCTTTTTGGGGCTGTAGACTAGCATGTAAGGCAACTGGGCTTCTACAGTGAGATTGAGAGCATGCGCGTCGCTTTCGCCGACAGTTTACATTGTGGGAGTTGGGGTTAGGGCTTACACGTACATCCACATTGCAAGATCTGTACCGAAATCATTTTAACATGCCGCTCGTCATGTGCGCGCACTCGCGCATCTTGAACGGAAGAGGGCTTTGGCGCCTAACACGAGGCCTCATTCATTGTTATGTGATACTTCTTGGTGTTGTTATCATACTTAGTTTTGTGATGCCCTCTGATGCCCATTATTATTGTGATGTTCTGGATGCCCGCCTGCCTGAGGGCAGGGGCACGTCCCCTCAACTCTGCAAGTAGCCACGATACCGTTTAGGTTTAGAGCTGTTTGTCTAGGCCGCTGAAATGAGTCACTGGACGCAGTGCGACGGCGCAACGCTGTTTTGTGTGACTGTACAGGGTGTCTTGCATCTAACCCGACATCAGTGTTGCTTTCAGTTGCAACTTCGCCAGTTTTGAAACTTGAACCTTCAAGCCTAACCACAAATCCTGAGCCCCCAAAACCTTAAGCCACGAACTCCTCAACCTTGAATCGGGCCCTCAAAAAACAGCTTCAAAAAGCCCGTATAAGCCCTACAATAGGCCCGTGCGAAAATAGAGCCAGGAGCACCTAAGTCCCTAAAGCAATGACTCCCTAAGCTCTAAGCCCCTACTGCTGCCTAAGCCCCCTCAACCCCCAACAAACCCCTCAATCCTTAACCGCCTCAACGATGAACCCCTTAATCCTAGACGCCCGAAGCCTTGAAACCTTGACCTTAGTAGCTGAGCGGATACACTTTACACTTTTTGGGGTTATCTTGCCGACTTCAAAACTAGACGTGTGCACTGTTGAGGGCATATGAACTCAGCAACCCTAAACCCTGAACCCTAAACCTAAACCCCTAAACTCTAAACCCCTAAACCCTAAACCCTAAAACAGCTAAGTGAGTGGAGTCGAAAAAGGGCCGTTAAGAACAAAAAAACTAAGTGACAGGGCGAGCCAGAGACGGCTTCGGAGGGTTCGGATTTGGCGGATCCCTTGGAAGAAGCAGCGAAAGAAGACAGAGAGCCGGTCAGACAGGACTGACTAGGGTCCAGGGTTTAGGGTTTAAGGTTTAGCAAAAAGGGTTTTGTTTTCTGGAGTCTAGAGTTTCTAGGGGTTTTAAGAGGCCTAAACTTCAAGGTTTTAGCTTGGTTGTTTCTAGGGGTTTGGAGGCGTAAAGTTCACAACTTTAGGGTTTTAGGGTTGCAGGTTTAGGGTTTCGAGGTTGCGTTGAGGGTATAAGGTTTCAGGCTGGAAGGTTTGAGGGTACCCAGCTCAAAGGAGGTGTGTTGCAATAGACTCCATCCGACAATCGTGGCCTGAACCTTTGCCCTGCTCAGAGCCTTAAGAAAAATGTCGTGCGGTTTGGAGCCTGGCTGAGTTCGGGTGTGCGGTGTGCATGTTGTCGTGTGGATCGGGGGCTTTGGGGTTAAGATCGATCTCGGGGCTTGTAAGGCTAGGATAAGGAATCCTATGAATCCCTTTAAAGAGCCCTTTATTATAACCCTAGTTACTAAGTCCCATGATCCTTTCAGAAAGAGGGCCCACACCCTGCTGCAAGGCTCTTCGTTTAGAGGCATGGGGGCCAGAGCAGTCCCGTGGTCTTGTGAGAGCCCAGGGGTCAAACCTCGCCTGTGAGCGAAGACCCCTATAAACCCCTAAACTCCTAAACCCTAACTTAACCCTGAAGAACCTACCTTTTTGAGGACTTGTATGAGGAAATCATAATAAGGAGCCCGAAAAAGGCAGGCTATTCAGGGTTAAGGTAAACCCTTCACCCCTAAACCCCCAAAACTCCTGGGCCCGAAACCGAAGCTCATCCGGTCCTGTACCGGAAACCGTCAAGTTTCAATCCAAGCCAAAGGAGCCTACCAGCGTGGTTCCGGCAACGGCTTGCGACGAGTCGTTGCAAGAGGAGGAGGAGGAGGAGGCCCAAATTTGGGTAGAATTTCAACGGTTCTCGCATGACCGATGGCTGAGAATGAGATAGTCACTTATGATTCAAAAACGAAGAGTACGATGCCGCTGATGACGATATTCTCGCATGTGCTGCATGCAGCGATGGAAAGGGTGGGGATGGCCAGCAATATTGCCATTGACGGGCGAACCAAAGCAGCAATCGAGTTCATGTACCATGGCTCCTCTGCACACAGCGCTGTATGATACGATTCCCTTGAAGCTCCGAGAATGAATGTGCGACTTCTTTACAGTAATTATAAAACCAAAGCTTAGGCCAACGAAGAGCCGTGTTGCACCTGAATCACCGTGACACGATGGCCATGGTTATCGCTTGCACCAGAACCCCTCGAAGAAGAAACAGACGACGGTGCGTATCGTCATCGCGAGCATCGGCACCATTGGTCAGTACTGGTAGCTAGCCCGATAGAATCCTCACCTGCTCTGTTTGAAAGCGGATGGGCCAAGGCACCTGCAGAGGACACTCTAGTCTGGGTTCCTGTTAAGGAACTAAAATGGGGATCTACAGTAAATAATATGGTTTCCTTACTATGGTAACTTGAATTCAGCCCCTTAACAAGAGCCCACCAGTTCATGATGCCCTCCAATATCCGAAGCCAGTCAGTTTCAAGAAGCTTATAACGCCCTTCTACGACAAGATGCCTCATATCTCAAATTAAGATTTTTATATTCACCCCCACCCATCCTCAAAAGCATTCCTTCTGCGGAAGTAAGAGAGGCCCTTAAAGCCTAAACTCTAAACCCTACACCCTACTCCCTAAACCCTAAGCGGTGTGACATGGTTCAGCTGGGCGGGTGGCAAAAAAAGCTAAACATGGGAGTTTCCGAAAATGAGGGGTACCTTGTTTCTAAACCCTTTATAGAACCCTTAGAGATCCCTTAAAGGAGCCCTTAAAGGGTCCCCTATTTTTGGAGACTCCCACATGCCAGGTAGCCGTGACCCCTTGTTGCGGCTCGGAGCCGGGCTCGGACTCCTTCCTCTCTGCCCCGGAAGCTTTGGAGCTCCAGGAAGCACCAGGAGACCCAAAAATATGGGAGCGAGGGAGGATCTTGAGGATCTAGGCCTTGGTCATACGAGGGTTTTGGGGTTTTACGGGTTTAGGGTTTAGGGTTGGAGTCAATGTGGGGGCCTAAATAATATTTTTTCCGGGGGGGGGGGGTTCTCATTATTATACGTATAGTACAGTTTAATGGGCCCCGGAACCATACTCTAATTATTAAGGCCCGGCCCCAATATTGGGCCATATCGACATCTTCGTCTCTCTCTCTCCCTCGCCCTCTTCTTTGCTCCATGTCTCCGTGTGCTTTTTTTCTTTACGAACTTGGTTTGGTTTCTTCTGCCTCAAGCCACACAGCTCACAGTTTACAGTGCCAGAATACCAAGGCCAGATTCCCGGCGCTTCTTGTGGTCATAGACGCTTTTTCGGGTTTAGGGTTCATTATAGAAGCCTGCAGATTTGCGTGTATTACTTGTAGTACATACAACATTCCTCAGAAACGCGTTTGGATTAGTAAGGTCCCAACAGTAGGGTGGTTACAATCTTGGCGGCGATTTTGAAGAGGACTCCAATGTTGATGACATCTTATGGCTTCATATTCGTGGTATTCATGACGTCCTATGTCTTCATACATCGAGCAGGACATTCTTGCTTTGACTGGTTACTGCTTGTTTCACCTTTTGTCATGGAAAGGATTGGAGGAGCTTCCAAAGTTCCTGGAGCTGGGAAGCCAGCCGTGGTTCGGCAAGTCGATAGCAGGGTGTAGGGTTTAGGGTTTAGGGTAGGAGCTAGGGTTTCGAGGAGGCACTTTAGAGAGACCTCGTTCAAAAAAGGGTTGGGCTTAGGGTTGAGGGTCTAGGGTTTAGGGGAGGGCTTAGGGTTTAGGCTTCAGAGTAGCTGCTAGCAACAAGGGTAGGGCTTCGCCTGTGACTGACCTGACCTGGATGTGTGATGCAATGTTTCTGTAAAGGGCCTCCTCCACTCTCAATGGTGACTTGATTCATTCATGGTGATCGAACGGGTAGCTTCCGTGGAAGGCCTAGTATGGCATGTGAGTATGTTATCGCATTCTCCAGGTACCGCTTACGAACGGATCCTCTACTCCATTTGCCTCTAAGGTCGACCTGACCTCCGGCCACTTAACTAAACTCGCTTTCTTCAAAGGCCTTAGTTTTAGAATCCACATGAGAATGTCTTCTCAGGTGGGAGTGTTTAATTGTCTTAACAGCTAGAAATCCTGGACCCTGAAACCCCAGACCCCAAACTGTGACAGGTGAAGTTTGTAAATATGTTTGGGTTCCCAATTCCAAGGTATGAGTTGCTTTGCGCGGCTCTGCCCTGCAAAGAGCTCTTTGCCCTCCGGCTGGTCTGCACGTCGGCCAAGATGGATACGAACCGGGAGATTGAGGACGGAGCTGGTGTTAAGTTCGTAGGCCCAAAGGCCACGTAGTGATTCTGTTCGGGGTGGCCGTGGGAAGATGACATGAATGGTTTCACTTGACAGTGAGTAGAGACGACTGGGGAACTGAAAATCAGCACTACCAAGTTGATGCGATGTTGCCCAGTGAATCAGGCATAGTGGCAAACAGAGCACGCTACGGCTTACCTGAGCGGCAGCCTATGCCTGCTTGGGCTTTGCACGGATGGTGATCACGACAGTTGGGCATCTGATGTCCTCACCACACTGCGCAATAAAAGAAAGACAAAAAGGACTGCACCGTTGGTGCGGACGCTAGGCCACAGGTGCCAAAACTAAAGTTCTGCACCCTTTGTCCTTGGGCCCTACAACACGGCTCAGTATGTGGTGTCGAATTAATGGGTCGTGCAGCAGGAGCTGCTGACGCATACAGCGTTTTGTCGCGTGGACAGTTGCACTGGATGATAATCATCAAGAAGAAGGAGTTGACTGATGCAAACTCTGATGACGATGACGGATGACGATGATGGTGAGGATGCTGAAAAGGATGGTTTCTGTGTGTTCTGTGTGTATCCATGTCCAAGCCTTCTGTCACGGCCCCAAATGAACCCCCCCCGCCCAGAATATCAGCAAGACGAGGTAGCAAGTACTATCGTGCTGACAACTACAGTAGTGATACGAGCAGTATCTAACAAAGCAAGGATGTTCGTACTTCGTATATTGTCATTACTGTTGGTAATACTGCAAGAAAGAAAGAACACCGCGCGAGCACCGGCGCAGGTACGGCTCAAGTCCCTGTGGCTTGGGGCACGCGCTCGTGTGGAGTCACCACCGGCCAGCTCGCTGCAGGGATTTTGCAGATGTTAGCTGGAGCGTTTGTAGCTTGTAGTGTCTTAGGGTTCAGGGTAGGTAGTGTCTGGTGGTTTAGGGTTTTGGGTGTTTGTGCTCTCGAGGTAATGCGGCACTTTCGCATGACACCTTGAAAATTCTTCGAGACCCTCAGCAGGAACGCTTGCCAAAGATGCTAGAGGTGTTGATGATTGTTAGAAGACTTCGCCAAACCCTAAACCCTAAACCCACTACTTTCAGTTGCCCTTCAGACCACAGTCAAAGTGCTCCAGTGCACCCGAGACCTCGTCTGGCTTGACCAAGTTGCGAGAGCGTAAACCCACTAAACCCATAAAGTAAAAGCCAGAAAGTTGGAATATGACTATCCTAAACCCTTTATGGTAAATTATCAGGTATCCTACCCTGAAACCATATTCCAACTTTCTGGACTTCCCTTTAACCTATTGGCCCAGGCCAGCCCCACCCATGCTGAAGCCCGAGCTCCTTCGGTGGAAGAGACTCCGGTCAAGCTGAACATCTATGACGTGACCACGAATCCCACTGCAGCTTGGGCAATATAAGGGCTACAAATGACCCTGGAATCCTATGCAGACTATTTCAAGCCCCTATCATTGGTTATGCTCAAGATAGATCTGGAGTTGTTGTTCCCTAAAGATGACTACGTTTACAGAAGTTGGTCAGACTGAGTACGGTAGAAACCATGATTTCGCACAGCCCATAAACCCTCTACTGCCCTCCACCTGCAGAACCCCTTACCGGAATCCTCACAAGAATCCTTCGAGAAACCGCTGAAGTTTGCAACAAACTTCCTCCATTCAGGGTGTATAACATATAGGGGTCGCCATCTTCAGAATTCGACTAGGGGGTTGGGGTGCAGTGCATGTTTTGTGGGGGGTGCATCATAATACATGGTTGCATGTTACGGTATATCAAGGGCTATTGTGAGGAATTTTCATACCTTCATAAGACGTTCATGTTTGCTACAAGCCAGTCATAGAGTCATAATCATGAATGTGGGTTCCGACTCAACAGACTGTGCAGTCGTCTGGGAATGCAACTGCTAGGATCGCAAGCTTGAGCCGTATTGTCGGGTTCGTGAAAGGGACATGCAACTGTTGGAAGCGATGTGTGCTTTGCGCCTAGATCGTCTCGCCATCCCTAGGTGCAGTGGATCAACAGCCTCTTTGCCAACCAGTACTCGCCAGTGAAGTTTGGCAGCTCGACATGGGTCTTCATATTTCTTCTGGTGTCTCCGTGTGTCTCCTACACTTGATTGCTAATCGCCTGGGCTCATGGTTCACAATACTCCATGCCAGGGTCGCAAGACATGAGTTCCGGCTTTGATGTGCTGCAAAGGCCCGATAAACCTAGAGTTGGAAAACGGACAGATGACCTGTGAGATGGGAAAGCTAAATGCTTGCGCAGGATTGCTGTTGACCCGGCGAGCCCGAGTGCCTAAGAGCTGCTGCTCACAGGTGGCATCTTCCATGTGGGCGTGCAGATCGGTTCGAGGGAGCGGCGTGGCTTCAACGAGATTCGATCGGCAAATAACATCGTCGCAACTTGTTCCCCCTTCTGCAGGTTACACCAGTCCATGCCAAGCTACACTTTTGTGTCCACATGCTGCGGAGGATGTTTTGCGCCTCCAAATCCTACACCTCACGAAAAGAAAGGTTCGTTGTCCTGCTTCCTGCTTTGCTTCCTCCAGGTGGGCATTTGGCTACAAGCCCTCCGGCACCGGCGTCTTCTGGACTGGGTCTGCCCGCAAATCACCCGAGGGGCATGACAGAAAGTGTAATCGCCAACCTTCACAAGCTTGGTTACTATACAGGCCTGCATTACTCTTTCGGGGGCTCCTTATTGTACTTATGGTAAAATGCGCCGCAAAATACCACACTCTAATTATTAAGGCCTCTATCTCACACTTGGTTAATCTGCGCATTGTATGCCGGGTCACAGACGAATCAAGCCTGGCCCCATGCCCGCTACCTGCCAAGTCCCGCGGTGATTCCTGACAGGACTCCACCCCTGTTTCCTGGACAGCACCACTTTCGTGAGACGATCGATATGCAGCCTGGCATGCTACAGCTACTACTCGATGCCTGTAGTCGGTTCGCTGTGAACTTAGCCATTCCCGGCAGACGCAAAGATGGCCACAGAGCAAGAGCGAGAGAGAGGGAGAGAGAGAGAGAGAGATAGAGAAACACATGTTGAAAGCCTAGGACGCCTCGTTTTGGTCGACAAACCATCCAACGGTTCGCAAGACGAGACGGCCCAGCCCCCAACAAGGAGAGAGACAGCTAGCGAGACAGAGAGAGAGGGGAACACCAGCCGTGGTTCAAAGCTTCACCGGACCGGTGGTCCTGTATGAAGCGAAACTTAGCTTCGGGGTGATGCAATCTGCCTGCCCCTTGCCTCGCTCGTGCTCGGCCACTGGGCCGTTTCTCTTGGCTTGTTGGGAGACGATGCTCCGCAGAGTCTAGACTATGCAGTCGAACAGGGCCAGGCCTTCAGTACGTCTGCAAATGGCATCAGACTGCCATGCTGATGCTTGTCGTGTGACGTGTGCCAAGTCGATCGAACAGCCGGGTGAATTGTACTTTCAGGACGTTTTGGTTTTTGCAGGGTGTGGTTACACCTGCTTGCTTGTTGTTTGTTAAAGAATGGTATCATAATTCATTTCTCACCCGCGAACACTCCGGCAGCCCGGCGCACCTTGACCGAAATCGAGCGAAGGCCACCTACGACGCTGTCTCGTACGGAGATTGCGGAGGTCATGACAAGTTTGGCCTCTTTGCAGATGTCAGCTGTGGTAGTTCTAAGGATGAGCCTCAAGGCAAGCATGAGCCAATAGCCTTTTATCCTGTTGCCCTACTCCTCGGCATTGCCATCTTTCGTCTTGTCGCCATGTCTCAATGAAGAAAGGCGATGAAGAAAGGCGATAGCGAGTAAGGGTAAGGACAATGATTCGCCGGCATGGTTTGAGAGATCCCCGATGCCAGAAAACTGCTGAAAAACCCAAGCGAGCATTGATCAAGAGGATAAGTGCAGGGGTTGATTAAGAGTTTTGGAAGCTCGGAAATTCAACACCCTGTAGTTCTTTCGTTCGCCGGGGTCGGTTTGTTACTCGATATAGTAACGAACAACCTCAAGCCCTGGTAGCAGTTCAGGCACATTTCTGACACACATCTGGTTCTAGAAATACGATCGTGCACATGACAGCGCGATTTGCCGATCTGTGAGAACGAAAGCCACAACACTTCCAGCAGCAGTGGTCAAAGTTTGCGGTCCAATGTCGTGGCATTAGCAGTAAGTGGTAGCAGTGGTAGCAGGTGTAGTGATAGTCGTAGCACTACTAATTAGTTCGATGACGATGGCCACGGCTGTTGCTACTAATCGCGCTGCTCACCCAGCCTGCGTGCAAGGAAATCAAGTGGAGTGGGCCAAGCTACAACGTCTTCCGACGAAACTGCTGCCACTTTGCTGACGAGGCAGAGCCGATTCGGGTGTGATTTTGCCTGGCAAACGCCCATAATGTAGGTAGTAGGAACCTGATTAAGAAACCTTGGGCCTTTACTCGGGTTCCTTATATAAATCCTCATAAATTGGGGGTTATAGGGCCAAGGTTCCTTAATCAGGTTCCTGCATTACTCGATGTGTTTAGGGTTTGGGGTGCAGGGAATGCTTGGGTCGGAAGCAAGACGCAAATCCGGAGCAGTTTATGAAGTGTCTTGTCCAGGTGTGCGAGATTCTCGGTGTTGGCAACATCCCAGAGTGGACCTACCGCCACTTGGGCATCAGACTGGCTCAGCTGTTCTCCAAAGGTTTCTGTTACGTTCCTGCTTGAGCAAACGATTATCTTCGACAGGGGGAACCCTAATGCCCACGAACATCCTTGCGTAACCCTATCGGAATCTCGTCCAGAAAGCTTTGAGTCCGTCAAAACAAAATACCAACAATTCCTAAACTTAAACCCTAAGCCACAAGATTCTAGAAGAGCGCGGTTGAAGAAAGCCTTGATCATCCTGGATCAGACTCCAAGCAGAAAGGCCTCGCCAACATCGGCAGCACTGCGGCCGAGGATGGTTCCACGAGTTTAAACGCTTGGAGGGTTTGCGTCTCAAGAGTTTAGGCTTGATAGGGGTTTCCTACACCTACTAAACCCTACTCTTTTGTAGGTTCTCATTGCAAACCCAAATATGGGACGTGTAGGGACCCTACAAAACAGTAGGTTTTGGAAGGTTACGGTTGGGTCTTCAAGAGTTCCGGCGCATGTCTTGTCGCAAGACTCAGGCGATGAATTTGCTGGTTTTGGGTATAGGGTTTAGGGTGGTTCTGAGTACAGGGTATAGGGCAGGCACGAGTCCTTCGTCTTTGCTGTCGGCATTCGTGAGAGTCGAGTGGTAAACGGGTGTTTGCACTGTGGCAAGAACGAACAGGTTGGCCGCGGAGGGACTTTCTTGGCACTCCAGTTTGAAGCACGGACCCTACCTGACTCCAAACCTCCAAGTCCCCAACCCTAATAGGAGGAGCCCTATAAGCATCCCTTGTAAGGCCTTTCCATTAATTACAACTTCTTGTCACACCCTCATCGGAGGTTCATGTTTGCAACCTACTTCCCGGTACCTCCACTGAAGTTCCATAACCCGTGCCACGCACGACAAGCGCGCAAAAAGGATCGGTTGAATTGGGATGTTCAAGATAAGGACCTGACTCTGCACATTCTATACCACGGCCTTACCATACTTAGAGGCCCAAGGGACTTAGTTATAAGTACCCCAAATAACAAAACCCTACTTACAACCGACTTACTGATGCCGGGGCCCCAAGGTACAGTAAGTAGAGCCCTTATAGAATCCTTACAGAAACCCTCAAAGGAACCCCCCAAAAGAATCCTTAAGTCCCCTGGACCTCTAAGTATTATCACGCTAGTTTTGAGTTCGGGGAGGCCACGGAGTTGTGGTGTCTGGTTTGAGGTTGAGGATCTGGTCTCTCTTGAGGCGTTGAGGTGCAGCTGAGCATGTGGGTCTTGAGCTGGAGACTTCAGACGTCTAGGGCTTGACGATTGGAGCGATTTTCTGGGGCTTCTTTGGGGTTTAGGGTATTAACAACGGTAGGCTCTTGATACAATGAGAGGTGTATGGCCCCCAGGCATTAGGCATGCAGGTGATCCGGGTGCTGGATGCGCCTGGCCTGCTGCCCTTGAGCTACAGCCCCATGGCTTGATCGCGAATTTGTTGCAGAACCCAGAGACCCCAATATCGTTTACTGGAATACTGCCGAAAATCTAGTAGGATCCTGAATAGTATTTACAGAATATTCCTTAATCGTACGGGTATTGGAGTCTCTAAGAACATGTAAGATCCCGGGGTATAGCTTGAGAAGCCATGTTTATGCCTCGTAAGAGTCTGGAGAAGCGAGTGTCAGTGTGCGTCTTTGACCGATTGTAACTTATGTACTGGCGACGTCCATTGGCTTGGCCTCCCGATAATACCCTTTTGCCCTTGCTCTTGTTGCGTTCCCTTGTTTCCAACCAAATGGCACGTAGGAAACAGGTTACCTGCATTTTTAGAATCTGTTGTTTTCAGCAGACTCCTTTGCTTTTTCAGAAAATTTTTCATGCCAGCTAAGCAGTCGACACCCACGCGTATTCCACGACAGAATTCTCCATCTGGGGGCTATGGGGGGACCTAGTTGTGTGCTACGCAAATCATGGTTTGGTCTCGGAGATCTGGAGCGACTGGGTGAGGTTTGTATAGGCCAGTATTGTCCGGAAGTTCAAGCTTCGTGCCACGACGAGAAGCTTGGGTGAGTCTGCCTAGTCGTAGAATTGAAGGTGTTCTGTTCTGCGTTCACCTCCTCACCACGTGTCTATCTCGCTGAACGCTGACCCCTGAACTCTAAACCCAAGCCCTGAGTAAGCTCCGAAACAATAAATTCAAGAACCCTCTGCTCTTTGACCCCAGGCCCGATACTGAGACCAAGGTCATGCTAACACAGCTCCGCCTGCTGTAGCAGCATCGCGGGCTGCAGCCAGGAAGGGGCTCGCTGGTTCAGGCGTTTAAAGGGTTTTGGGTTTAGGTAGACCCTGAACCCTAAACCGTGGAGTCCAGTAGCCAAAAGGGGTGGCTTGGTTCGAAGAGCTGGGACTGCTTAGAGCTTAGCAAACTGCGCGGGCTTAGGGATTTTCGACAATCAATGGAGCCTTTCAATCGTCCCTAGATCCCCCAACTGCCGTCTATTATGCCTTGAATCCCCACTCTTAAGGGCCATAAGGGCTCTGTTGAAGGGTACTTGGGGTGTTTTGGTCACGCCGATGCAGCAGCTAATATAGGGGCCTTAATTGGCTTTGAAAATTGAAAATTAAATTATCAATACCATTTTGGGGGTTCCGTATTATTATGATGTCCCGGTCCTGTTAACGTTATTATCTTGGGAAATAATAAATAATGGGATTATTTTGAGATTGCAGATGGAATCGAGGCACTCAGGCAATCAAACAAGCAATGGGAAAGCAATGGAAAAATATGGGATTGGAATCCCGTGGCATTTTGACTTCAATGTTTCTCCGATTTGGTTCCCGTGCGGCCCGATCCATCTCATGTTTTTCCCATATTTGGTTCCATTTCTTTTCCATTTTTGGTTCCATTATTTTTCCATTATTTTCAATTTTTTTGATTTTTCCCAAATGCTTCAGGGAATTTGTGTTTTTCTAGGATGGAGGCCACCTGGGACAGGGCCCAAATCCCACCCCCACGCAACGGAACAAAAATGGTAAAAGAAGCAAACTCAGAATGCTGGTCCAGGGTGGTCCTTTATTGAACCTGTCGCCCCTGATGCCCTGGCCCTGGCAGTTTGTGTTTGTTTGCGTTTGATTTATTTTTGATGTTTTTCCATGTTTGGCTTCGTTTTTTTGTTGTTTCTTCCATTCCCTGTGTCGGTCCTGGTCTCTTGTTTTGATTTTTGGTTCCATTATTTGTTCATTCCTTTTCCATTTTTATTGTTCGTGGTTTTCATAGAGTTATCAGGCGAGGGGCCATCTTAACCGTATTAATTACAGTATAGTTTACCCCAAGCCCTATTCTAATTATCAAGGCCCATATAGTAGATTTTCTTTCCAGACGGGCTACCTGCTGGTTAATCTTGTAGTATCGTTAAGGGAGGGGGGTCCAAGGGGGGTATATAGCCTAGTGATCCCTAATTCCCCCTAGTACTCCCTAAGGTTCCCTTACAGTCCCCTGAGGATTCCTTATACCCTCCCCCCTTGAACCACCCTCCCTTAAGGATCCTATAATAATCTGAGCCTTACGCACACAGAAACTCCCATGTCAGGAAGTCAAAGGCGCTCCCGAGTCTCGGGTGCTTTGATACACATGGGGGTTTCCGCAAATATGGGACCCTAATATAGGACCGTAAAACTGTAGGATCCATATTAATTATAAGGACCCCAAATAAAGGTACCCCTAATCTTCGGAAATTCCCACATGGCCACCGCCAAGGATGCTCCTGCTATCGCCCGGGACACGTCTGAACACATGAATGTGTGAGCTCGGCGGAGTTTGATGGGGACAGCGCGATCGGATGCTGGCCGCTGTAGTGGTTAGCAGCTGCCCCCCTTGCTGCAGTAGTCGTTAAGGTGGTCTCCCGGTCTCTCCCTGCTACATAGAAAGTTTGGTTCGTTGTTCTGCTCAGAGTTGCAGCATCGCGCCTACGTGCAGCGTACCGGTTCTGCTGTGCACACGGATCGGTCGTAGACCTGCGCATGAGTCGCAGGATGGATGCACGGATGGTTCTTTCTGCACTCGGAGCGGTTAACTGTAACTATTTCGAAGCCAGGTTCTTCATCACGTGTAGTGCCCCGCTGAGCCAGAGCAATTTGGTATATTAATGGATGGCCGAGATGCGGTTTAAGTCCAGGCTTATGCCGCCTGTTCTGCGTTCTGCACCCCGTACAAAGCCTACAGCCCCAAATCGCACAGACCTGATTCAATTCGGTGTCTGACCGGCGACAACCTTCAGCTCGGTTGAGGGCATAAGATGCTGCAGAACCCCTCCATTAACAACGATTCATACATGTCCCCGATGTTGGAAAAACCCTTCAGCTAACTGAAGCTGAACGTTACGATCGCTTGTGGTGGATCCCTCTTCAAGATCAGTTTCCTGGCATTTCCATTTCCCTACGTGAATTACGCGCCCTGGAAAATGTCCTCCCATCCCGCCTGAGCAGAAAGTGGGAGTTTCCGAAAATGGGGGGGGACCCCCATTATAGCACCGTAAATAATAGGATCCTTATTCTAAGGACACCAAAATAAGGTACCCCTAGCCCCCTAGTAGAGTCTTGGCCGGAAGTGCCATGGAGGCCATGGGCCAATGAACAATGCGGCAGATGCCGTTTGAAGTACCAGGTTGACTCATGTGGCACCAGGGGATTTTGCAGTCAACAGTGTCGCTGGTTTTGGCCTCGGCAATGTTAACTAGTAAAGTTGACTCAGCATGTACTCCAGGTTTTTTCGAGCTCGGCCATGGCGGAGTGTGTCGTGGATGTAAAATAGGGGCCTTAATGATAAGAATAGGGTTTGGGCGTAAATTATACTATAATTGTAGTAAGGAATTCCCAAAACCCTTAGGCACCTACATCCTAGTACCCTTACAGATCCCTTATAGTAACCCTTATTGGCCCGTTTACAGGGACCCTGTTCTAATTATGAAGGCACCTATATTATAGTACCCTTATAGATCCCTTTTAGTGAACCTTATATTTTCCAAGAACCCTATTCTAATACCTCTAGTAACTTAAGGCATTTGGGTCAGACTGCAGGCTTCCTGGTTGCAGCACTCGTAGTCTTCCTGCGGGGAATGCGCCAGTGCTTCGGCATTGATGTTTGCCCAGAGGCTGCATAGTAGTTCCTGGTTCATATTTAGGGTCCTATAAGGTAATCCCAAAAAAGAACTACTATGGAGCCTATGGGTGTGCCCAGATCTGACCGATTCTTTGAGCAAAAGCTGACATCATGGAGCTTTTGTCTGCTAATACTAAGTACTACGACGACTACAACTGCTACTACTGCTATTACTACTACTACTACTACTACTACCACCACCACCACCACCACCACCACCTACTGCTACTACTACTACTACTACTACTACTACTACTACTACTACTACTACTACTACTACTACTACTACTACTACTACTACTACTACTACTACTACTACTACTACTATACTACTACTACTACTACTACTACTACTACTACTACTACTACTACTACTACTACTACTACTACTACTACTACTACTACTACCACTGCTACCACTGCTACCACTGCTACTACTGCTACTACTGCTACTGCTACTAGTGCTACTACTGCTACTAGTGCTCCTAGTGCTACGACTACGACGACGGTGACGACCAGGACGATGAGTACTCGAGAGACTTGGAAACCACAATTCCAGAAGCGACGAAAACTATTTCGACGACGATCGGGACGACAACAACTATGCCAGGCCACGGCTATTTGCCCTTCTAGTTGCGGTGGCTCCTACTGCTACTGCCGCTACCGTTACCCCTATCGTCACCACCACCACAACGACGACTACTACTAGTATAACCACTTCCTGCACTTCTACTTCTGCTACTGCTACTGCTACTAAGTGGACGGCTACTTCCATGGTCACACTGTTTTCAAGTGGAGGTGCGAAAGGAGGAGGAGCAGTAGTGCGAGAATTGTTTCGACTGCAAGAAGTCATTCGGCGATTTTGCTTCCGCGGGTTGGGCGGAAGAGCTTGGATTTTTCACTCTACCCTTCCAACCCCCCAACAGCGAGTCCACAGCTACTACTTGTAACAGTGGTGAAGTAGGTTTGGGAGTTGTGTTTGGCCGTGTCTACACTTACGGTCAGAGGAAAGGCACAGGGAATTCCACAAGACGTGGCATTCAATGGCCCGAAGCTCACTGGGGAAGTGACACGGTGCACAATACAGTCGTCTGAGTACCCAGCCATAGCTTTCCCTTCTGGTGCCCCTTGATTAAACCATAGTGAATCGCGAAGCCACTCTAGTAGTGAGACCCTTACCATTACTGGCACTAAAGGGCGTGGTTCCTTGATGTGAGGGTTTTTCGGGTTCGGAGTTTAGGTTTCAGGGCGTGGGCCTTTCGATTTCGCAGCGGGCACATGGAATGGTTTTGTGCTTCTGCTGTTGCTGAGTTGGAGTAGGCGATTTCAGCCGAGGCGGCGGGGGAGGTAACCCAGGTGCTGAGGTTTGTTCACAAACCTGTCATACCTTGTGCACTTCAAGGTTCAGTAACATTAGCATGCACCTGTCACTGCTCTAGCAAGCTGGGCGCTTTAGACCGTTTTGGAAAAATTCACTTCGCTGCAAGTAGCCTGAGCAGCATGTAGCCAGGAATTCTGTGCCCCATCACCTGACAAAGGATGCGCAAAATTGTCAACATCGAGCAAGGTTTGGCACAGCAGTGACACTACATCCGACTAAGTACCCTTTCACCGTTCGGTTCTACTAGGCTTCTGCCCCACGCTACACTTGCAGTGCAAGACTTGCAGCGAGTTGCAGCCAGGTGCCCTCCAAAGGAGCACACTGGCCTTTTAATGCAGTCAACGCATGCTGGCTGGCAGCGGCAAGCCTTCACTGAATGTTCTACCCAGACCCCCGGGAGGATCTAGAAAGTAGATCCCCTAATTTGGGGCCTAAGGGTACTTTATAGGAACGCCCATTAAGAGATAGAAGACCCTACACCTGAAGCCCGCAACCTTCGACCCTGGTGTGCCTTTTCATGGGCACCGCCGCTCCGGCAGTGGCCTGACTCGTCCTCTTGAATGCATCCGGTCATCGCCCGAAAAAGGCCCAGGACGAGATTTCTTTTCTGAGAACCATGGGCTGCAGCACGGTACATGACTGTTCACTGTAATTGTCATTGCTCCGATTTTGGAGCCTGCTTGCTACATCAGTGTTTTCAGGACTGCGACGCTGTTTGCCAACAAGCATTGCAAAGCTTCCTGTTCTGCTGAAGCTGAATCGCCATGGCGCCTCACTCATTGGAACTGTAATACTAGCTGTTCAGTTTACTTTAGGAGGGGTCTCGGAGGCTATGCTATCAGATATCAGGATCTCATCATTCGGGGTCTTCGATTTTTGGACGGTCCCTACTGTCTGAAACAACCAGATAAAGTTAGAGCTTAGGAGTGCTTGAAAGGAATCAACGGTTTAGGGGTTTTCTGCTTCTTCAGGAGTGCCTGTCGATGATTGTGCTTACTTTTATTCCAGCACCCATACGGCCGAAATTACTGGTAGCAGTATTGACACTCTGGCCCTGGCAACACACCAATGCCACTCATTAGTTCCTACTCCTCTTGACCTGGGTACCTTTTACGTTATTCAGTCACGGACCTTGAGCCAGAGAATGCCCTTTCGAGCGAGAAGTTTCTGAAGCCGCCACTCTGCCTCAGGGGACAACCTTGCCTTCGTGTTCTCAGGCCACGGATTAAGTGCCTCGCCCGCACGTAGAGGAAACGAAACACGCTTACACTGCGGGGCACTCGTGCAGTTTTAAATTTCGCCTAAGTGGGGGAACAGAGCATGAAAGTGCAGGGAGCAGTCTGTGGAGAGCAGCTTCTGAGAGAGCCCGGTGTCACCGTCTACCAATCCAGCTACCATTCACTCGTGCTTACCGTGCCCAGTGGGTTGTCTGAGGTGTACAGTAGTTCAGGATGACAGTGTACATGCAGGTATGCCCCAGGAAAATCACAAGGATGCCAGCAGCACAAATAAAAAACATTGCTCAGTAGCTGCAAGCTTTCGCCTCGCAAGTACTAATCACGAATATAGGGGGCCTTAAGAATTGGAATAGGGTCTGAGGGCTCAACATACTACTAAAACTATGGTGAGGAACGCCCAAAAGCACAGGTAATTATTAAGGCCCCGACATTAATCCGGAAGCCAGGTACAACCAGCACCTTGACAGACCGTCGAGACGAGCTGGACCATGCGCGACTCGTCGTTCAAACTCCGACGGTTGAAATGCAGGCCCAAAGCCCTAAACCCTAAGCTTTAGGGCCAGGCGCGAGCCTGTGGACGGGCTTCAGTCTAGACGCTGCCTGATGGTTGTTTTGCTGGCCTTGGTTCGGCTTTTGTTCGTCTGCGTCGGCTGTAGTGCGCCGTAGTGGTTGCCAAGATACGCATACGTACTCACACGTGGTCAGTGGGCAGAGGCGAGACTGAATCCTAAAATATTCACTATGTGACATTTTGTTGTGCTATATGAAGATATATTCGACTTGTTGTTTTAATACCATATATATATTGTATATGTGTGTATATATATGTATATAGATTACATTGTATTCCATATTATACCATAGTATAGTACGTCGTGTTTTATTGAGCTCTCAGAGCCTCTAGGACTCAAGACTCCCTAAACCCTAAACCCTAAGAGCCCTCAACCCTAAACCGGTTTAGGGTTTAGGGTTTAAGGTTAAAAAAACCCTAAGAGCCCTCAACCCTAAACCTTGAACCCTAGACCCTA